GTGCCAGAAATAATTTTTTTTTTTTTGCGGTGGATGATCATGAGCGGCCATCACTTCAGCTAACGCTAAATATTCTGGAAATATTCGCAAAATAATCCTAAAATTCTAAAATATATATCTAACGTTCCAAGAATACTTTGGAATATTCCGAAACATTTATCAAATGTAAAAGAAACATTTAAATAATCGCGGCGAAGCTGTATTACTCAAGATCGATCCAAATAAGATGGAATAAAAGGTGCAATTTTTAGCCCGTAACGTCTCGCTAAATTAGGCTTTTCAGATAAAAAATAATAAAACGTGTTTTTTTTTTTATTCAAGGATTAGCGCCGGAGTTCTGTAACTCTTAATGATAGCGTCGGTGTCGTTGATCCAATCAATCATATTCAATTGCTCGACGATTATCAGACTGCTTCGTCTGGTTTGAATGGTCAATATTTCGGGAATATACCGGAATATTCTTGAGATGTTACTTCAAAGCTTGAAGATCATTTGACGAATATTTCAGGAATATTTAGCGCTAACTGGATCTAAGGGCGGTCGCTCGTGTACATCTTATTCGTGAAACTGCGATGTGGATAAATAGCTGGGACAAATAAATTTCGATCCATTGTCCCCTTTATGGCGAGAAAAGTCGCGTCGCGTCACGACGCGAGTCGGCGGCTATGCGGTATACCCGAGGCTAAATTGAATTTTTTTTCAATTCATTCCACTTTGCGCGCGGCCGAGACGCCAGTGCAGTCAATGGGTATCTGTGCGCGACAGCCTCACCTATTCGCGGTAGATTCTCATTATTTTTAAATTGGAAATGAGAAGTGTGCGCGAGAGTACGGTCGAGAGCACCTTCGCCGACGCCGGGCGTCGCAACGCGTCGCGCCGGTGCATTATTCCATGCCGATGCCTATATAACTGGCGAAGGTGGAGGCGCAGAAATTAATTTAATTACAGATCGGGTGTCGATAGCAGTCACCGTTCCTTCTGGTTAAGGAGCGGGGCAAAAAAAGGACGAGGTTCTCGAAGAGAGCTTTGACCTATGCGGTTTCTGCCTTAAAATTCATGAGCGGCAAGTTTATTATGCGACGCAATCTTTTCATTTTGCCCCGCCAAACATTTCGAGATAGTCAAAAATAAAGTTTTTCTTTAAGAGAAACATAAAGGAAAAGATTATTCTACTTGTGACATTGAAACTCGATCCTCGAAGGTCATTCATATAACTTAACGTATCAAGGCAGTCAAGTGAAATGCAGCGCAAAATTCAGACATTGAGATCAACTGACATGTTAATAATCATCATAGTTGGCAAGGCACTTCTTTCATTGTGAAACCAGACGACCAGAATACCCTGTTCATAAACCTTCCTTAGGCTGGGATCCCACTCACATCTTACACTACTCTGCGTCCGACAGCAATTTCCTTTCAGAGCAACTGCCTTTCAGATTCTTCTTCGGTATCCCGATTCTGTAACTCTTAACGACACAGTTCGGTATCGTTATGTTGCCATTGCAACCTTTTTACCATGTATATCTGCACAATGGCAATATTACGATATCGATACTGTCGTTAAAAGTTATACAGACTCGGGGTATAGATCTCCAAAGATATAGAAATCGCATAGCGACACAGTTTCGCTGTGAAAAATCTAAAAGACAGGAAATTTCTGTCGGACGCCGTAATGCAGAAGGCATGTTTGCAAATATATTTGATCCCAGCCTAAAGAATTTTATGAACAGAGCATCCGTCATAATCTGGTTTCACAATGAAAGAATTTTTCATTCGCTGCATTTCATTTTACTGTCCTCTAATGCGAAATTAAATAATTAAAACTTAGATATCTAAGATAATCAAATCGACTGCAAAAGAGGAAAATAAAATTTAATCATTTACAAAAGTCAGGAAAATTCTTGACTTCAAATATATATATATATATATTACATTAAATTATAAATATAAATAATTTTTAAAAATATATACATAAACAATCATTGACTGTGTTATTAGTGTTAAATCACTCGTTATAATAAAACCGTATATATATGCAAATACATAAATCAAAAAACACAGTGGATGTTTTTTATTTAGTGACATAAATATTTTATCTTTCTTGGCATTCAGAGAATAACAAAAATAGAAATATACTTATGTTGACTTGTGTCACCAAATGGAATGCACCCAATTTCTGTAATAATTCAGAAAAGAGTAAGTTTGACAATCATGTTTCTTTTAAGATAGAAAGTAATCATGCAAAATTAATTATATTTGATATAAAGTGACATTACAATTATATAGAGATGATACGTCATTTTGGAACTTTGAGTAAAACTCATTTATTAAATTGGAGCCAAGATACAGTCTGTAGTCGAGGCAGTACTCTTACAATTATAAGAAGATACCTATATCGTCTATCTGTTGAAAAATAAAAACTCTACTAGATTGTTAATAGTTAATAGTCAATAGTTAATAGTATAAATCGAGAATATTAGATATTTCGACGCTTAAAGATAGACTTCTTTCGTTTGTAATATTGAATTTAGTAGCGCACTACTTGCACTCAAAACTAGTGTGTGTGAATAAAAAATTATATGCAACAATATCAAAGCCTTTTATAAGACATGATATCATAATTTAAAAAAAGAGAGAGAGAGGAACATGATACATATACTGATAAAATCGGTCTTGAGTTTATGAAAAAATCTCTCCCGTTTTTTTATTCATGTCTAATTAATGATTTAAAAAATTATATGTCGATGTACAAAAATTGATTAAATACATGATAAAGGTAACTGTTATATCTCTATTTGCAGATGTCTACAAGAGGACTTTAAGATGTATACATTCCGTTTATCTCTGTCCAGCCCAACAATAATCTCTCTAGCATTGTAGATCATGTTTAAAATTAATTAATATCGTGTATGTATGTGAGCTATATATTTACCTGTAGTTTAGACATATGTATCTGTACATTCTACGATTCTAAAATTGTTGTACGCTATTATTTATACAATATATTATTAATCAGATATAATAATGAAAAATAAGATAGAAAACAAAAGTTTTCTTCTATCCCAATAATTTGATTATTAGAATAAATATGGGCTAGAAAGAGAGAGTTAAAACTTTGCTTTATAAATAGCATTTGCTTCAAGACTATATTACAAAAAAATACAAGTGGTGGAACTAAAGCGGCAAGCAAATCGATTAATTACAGTCGAGTAATTGCGTTTCTGACCTCATATCGTTCTCGAGGCTTTTTTATGCACTATGGCTTGTAAAGTAGTTGATTATTATTATCAGAATTTTTTCTTTAAGTTATGATTAAACTCTTTGATAAATAATGAAAAACTATATCGACGAATATATATAATCTTTGTGCAACAAATGTTAGAATATATTACTGCAACATTTAAATAATAATATAATATGCTTGTTCTCTGTAACTAGCTCACATTAAATCTATGTATTCTATTATTATAACGGTAAACGATCCTTCACTGAAAGAACATCTCTCTCCTCTAATTTGTATACCGGCATTCGTAACTCGGGCATTAACAAATCTCTCCGCTGCTTAGGATACTTTATATTTTATTTTGAATGTATATCTTATCTACCATTGAACTGCTTACATACTGAGTGTCGGGTATTCGAGGAATAATAATTCTAGATAGTAAGATAGTGGAACGTTTGTCAGAGTTAGCAGTTTAGATAAAACGGGATCGAAACTTTAGATTCGACACTAATCTGCGCACTCTCACGAACGTATTACAAATTTAGCATCAATATACGGATTTCAACTACAGTTCGCACACTACAATTCGACGAACGAGCTCGCGCTCTTTTGTACTAGTAATCAATAGTGAAGACATCCCGTGATAAGAGTGTGTAATGGGACAACGGATTTCTATACGTGTATATTGTCCATGGGAAATTATACCATGAGCTCGAGTCAATTCGAAAAATGCATTCTAAGTAATCTTCTGCGGGCACATTATTAAGTATACGAGTGATTAGTACCATAAACATCAACTATACAGTTATTGCTATGGAAGCAGTACGACGATTCAGAGCCCCGATAAATTCAAACGAACTTATCGCATATATATGTATAAACATATACATGTTTATATGTTCAAACATATACATATACATATGACCAAATATATATGTATACATATATCTTCTTGTATATACACATGTATGCATACCATATTTGGTTATTTATATGTATATGTATATTTTATATCTTATATATTGTCTTTAATTAATCTAAACTATATGTGTACTGCTAAAATTACAATAATTCATCTGTCACGTCAGTTAGATGTGTCATCGTAAATCCAGTTGAATTTATCGTCGGCATCAAAATAGCGTAACTCATAATACATTGTTATATAAACAGCTTTATAACGCGAAATCTGTCCTACTTGTATTCATCTCTTTGTATATATACATAGCATGTCTAGCGATAACTACAATCGATAACAACTAATACATTCTTATCAGTGTGGCGAGTATAGCAGCTTTTGCGGCCTGCGCAACACCCGCCATTCTGGATAAAATATATTTCATTGCATTCAACTTTTATTCAGAACTTTTATTCAGAACTCTTTCTCACCGAGTAATTAACTACATTTATTGTCAATGCATTCGGAATGATGTCGCTGTGCCGTCTTGCCTGCGTTCGTAACTTTCATGAAGTATCCACAAAATTGTTTCTGTCGAGCCTAACAAATTTCTCATTTGCATCTGTGTAACTCGATAGATTTACTAATCTTAAGAATCGCATTGGTCATTTATTCTATCTCTTAACGCATATTTAAGAAAATGCCTACAATTGTGTAACGATAAATATTTAAATACAAGTCAGCTCTTACAATGTACACGATTATTATAAAATTTACATCGCGAAATAAGAATTATTAGTCAATAACAATTCTTCTTAAGAATGTGTTTTATACTACACTGTAAGAGTTTGCAATGGCATTATTGATATATGAGTAGCCATGTGTATTTTGTTCCAATAATATATGTTCTCTTTTTATAATACATATATAATATTAATTTAATGTACGAGAACTCATGTAATATATATAAGTACTATTTTTTTTTTATTTATAACTAATGCGATTCTTAATGTTTCACTCGATTCCATCTACCCAAAAGTGCATAAACTCTGCAACAATGTGACGTTCTTAAATACTTATTGGCAATTCTTTGCTGAGAAGCAAACAAGGCAAGGCGCCATTAAACACGTTCACAGGACGTCCGAATGAATTAACGAGTGCCACCGGTTAAAAGGCGAATTATTACATAATTGCTTATATTGACTCGCGTATATTTCTGTCGCATCTTTGCGTATATAAGTACTTTATATTTTAAATAATTATACGTACATGTGTATGTGTCACATCCGCGCAAATGCATCACGGTGTATAAGTCGCGACTTTTATCTCGCTGACGTCTCTCTTTTATTTATTCATACGCAAAGATTTACACATTTGAGAGATCGCCGCAGTACTTATCCGCTTTGAAATATATGTTTTTTTGTTTCTCGTTTACAGCATGTGCGTGTGTACCGTGTGCGTCGCACAGATGATCGCATGTACATATATCTGCTTTATCTCTCTCCCTTTGTGTAGAAGTTACCCATGTGTGCGTGAGGATCGTAGTATAGCTAGCTTTTAGTTTCTTAATACGACAAAACTCAGACGAAACACGAATGCTAAGTAACTAAAGAAACGTGCGTCGTCCCATTGGGCTCGGACCGAATGGCGTTCTCATAGCTGGTACCATTTCTTATCTTTGTACTTGAGCATCAGTCCATGAGCGCTTTGCGAAAAATTCTCAGCCTCCGACATCATGCGTGCGGTCCGCTCTTCGAGCTGCGACAGCTTCTCGCCGCGCTCCACCACCATCTGATGTGCCATATTTACTTCGCCCGTTGCGCTAGAGACTCGTTCTCGGAGAGCCTCATTTGGTCCTGGAATATGTTTCGCCACTGTGCGCGACGCACGACCGCTGGATTCACCGACTGTAATCAGCATCATTATAAGCATTAGCTTGCTTCAAATTATTCATTTCTATTATTTTCAATTTGTTAATCCTGCAGTAAAGATGTCTGCTTACATAATTCTTCCCGATCGAGACTCCTCGCACCACCACCGAATAAACCTTTGAAGAAACTCTCTTTAGGCGGTTCTGGCATATCGTGGCCAATAAACAAATCACCCATCATCTCCGTCAACTCGGCACTAATCAAATAAAAATATAATTTACATTTTCGTTCAAATTCGACGTTAAATAAAAGAATGTATGAAAATTCAGTAAATTCGGTATAAAAGATATTTTATAGAACTAAATAGAAGTGTGATAGAACAATACCAGAATTCATTCGAAACGGAGAATTTTTGTATTTCCATCGGTGATGAGAGATATAAACCATGACCTCGATTGCTGAAGCAAAACGTCTTTGCGATCCTGCAAAAAACATGCACAAGGCAGCTTTACTACAATGCGTTGTTTCATAGATAATAGATTGCATATAAAATGACAATATCAGGGTACAACTGTAAAAGAGTGTCAAGTGTACGTTCTTATATACATAGCATAAAGCTCTGGTAGGTGATAAAAATCAGGTTTATAGAGGTTTCAAGTGACGGGAGGAACGCTTTCCTATGTGAAACATTATGAAGCTGAAAAAAAATCATGAAATTGAAAGGAGATAGTACATTGCACGCAAGGCACTCGTGTTGTGTTGTGTCAAGGTTTACGTGTGGTTAGCTGTACTTTATACTCGTAGATGACTTACTGATCGGTATCGCCATTAACAAAGAGTTGATGACCCCATATGGTCAACATGGGGTCTACAATGCCGTGTTTTGTGGTCTGAAAACTGTTAGAGATTTTAGAGACAGGAGAAAAGTGAGCGCTCGACCGTACACGGGTTAATATAAGATTTATCGTTAATTAGCATTAACCCTTAAAACAGCCAGCCCAATATTTATTTTAATTTCAAGGAGACTCTTTATATAATATGTTTGCACGATCTTATTTTCTGTACATGTAGAAAAATTTGTAAGTGAAATAGACGATATAATATGGTAAATGTTGCCTGAAAGTTCGTAGTGTAGTGCCAGATTTTGTTAAATAGATATGATACATATATAATGAGATAGAAAAATTTCAAAATAAAAGTTAAAATTTGCAAATGAAGAATTGCTACAGATAGACAATTTCATATCGCGTGATTGTGAAACATTATGAGATAGAACATAGATAAGTTTGAATTAAGACCGAAAATATCTTTAATTTTTATTTTAAGAAGCAAATCCGCATTTTCATTCGTTTCACAATGCTGCATTCTCTGAAATCTAGCGTATATGCTTTGAGATAAAGAGTGCAGTAATAGATCGAAGTGCTCGTAAAAATGCTACAAATGACGCATGCTCTAATTGTGTTAAGGGTTAACGAGTGCATTTATTGCATAGAGAAAGTCACATGCTAATATTATTTTTTAATTAATTTCTTGATAAATTTTCATATAAATATAGAACAATATGTCTAGATATTTTACATGTATAAGTTATCGTCAACTCTTCATATATTTTTTAGGCGATTTCACAAATAGCAAAGTTATTGAACACCAAGAAGAAGATAAGCTGTTATGAATTTATTAACTCCTAAACATTCGCGTAATATCCTTAATATAAAAAGAATTTTCTAGAAGTGTGCCATATCCATTTCTAAATTGTTTATAATTATAAACTTATGCTTCTAAAATTGTATAATTATAAATAGATAAATCTTTAAATTATATTACATAGAACGTTTGATAATTGCACACTTCTAGAGGATATTATACATATATAAATAGCATAATATATTATTATAAAGAATTTGATAGAAAATATAATTGATAAATCGAAATACTTTTGAGAATAAGTACCTGATAGCCAACTATAATATCGTTTACGTGCCAGTAGTGCATATATCTCTGGCTTCGGTACCTTATCTAGATCTATTTGATGATGCTAGTCGATGGATTTAAAATTTGTGTTTATTATTGTTCTACTGCGAATAAATATAAAATTTAAACGATGATAAAATAAACAAAATTTTTAATAAGATTAATCAATTTCATGCGCCGTAATAATAAAATGTTAAAAAAATAACTTGTAATAATCAATTATACAAATGTAGAAGAAAATGTAAATTTTGCTACGAAAGTTTATTTAAAACATAATCAATTTAAAAAATATACCGATTTAAAAATATTTTAATGCAGCAGGTAAGCCTTCGCTTGTAAACGATAAAAGATTCGCGCCGCTGTTTTGATTTAAACAAGAATTTCTGAACTTCTCCCTTTACCTTTTAAAAGCTAGCTCCTATTTTCTGTTTTCTAATAAGAGGCAATAATTACGCATAAGATATCACATTTAAAAGATGTGTTTAGTATAATATCAGTCGTCTTCCAATCTATCAAGTGTAATTTTCTGTAAAGCATTAGTTAGCAAATAGCTTCATTGGCAATGATACTTACATCAAAAAAATGTATACATTTTTTTCTCTGATAGCCTTGATGCAAGATTAATGATAAAAATAATTTCTATGCAAGCTTAGTGTGTCTCTTGAAAGGCTAATTTTATCGATTTTAAATATATTTGAGGAAATATATCAAATTATTTTATAAACATTTACATTACCTGCATAGTATTGCGAAGTTACGACTGCATCATAATTAATATATTTATACATAATATGTATATGCAGTATACAATCTTTTGCTCTATGTATAATGTTTGTAGATCATTCTGAATTATGCAGTATGTAATTTTTAACATTTTAAAAACTATATAAATATATGTATTATATTAAGAATTAGAAGTATAGAAATTTTTTGCGATATTACAATAGCGTATAGTGCAACGCATCATGTGCAAATATTGCCACTATTATATTGCCTTGATAGGTAAAATAAAAGAGTTAGAAAGGAATTACTTTTCTTACCTCAAATCTGTAAGAGGCAGAAAATCAATGTCTATCAGTGGTCTCAGGCTGGGCAAACTATACGTTGTGATGTGACCAGTCGAAACATAACATACCAGGCAGATATTATCTAAACAGAAATGTTTTGTGAAGAAGAATTTCAAAAGGCATATTTTTAAAATAATCAGGTGACAAATATAATAAGTAAAAATTAGAATGTAAAATAAAATGTGGATTATACCTTTGAGTGAGGTAACTTCAGCCTTAATTACGGGATAATTACTTTCCGCTAGCTGTTGCCTATATACACAGTTTTGGGAAGGTAACGCCACAACTCTCGCTTGTCTCTCCGATACAAGCACGACAAATTGTCTGTCCTCGAAGTTGTCTCCGCCGACTTGCGTGTTCGCCGACGGTGACATTCGACTATTTGTACATTTTCCTTGACTCTCTTTAACAAAAATCCATATCGTTAGTGCAATATACTCTATGCGATACACATGCAAAAAATCTTCAAAGAAGCGCAAAAATCACGGAATATACGAGAGCTATATCTATCTTCTATTCACGCGTTTATACGTAATAAGAAGTAAAGCCTACTGTTTCGTTCTTTGCCATCCGTGTTCTCGTCTTTCCAGGACTCATATAAATACGGAATCAGAGCGCCGTTGCAGTCTAAGAATGACATCAATAAAATACAACCCTTGAGTTTGAAAGTAGATCCATCTGTACACACAAAACATATGTTAAACCACATGTTACGTACGACTTAAAATAGAAAAAAATTACAGCTATATAAATACAGCTTTGGCCATAAATATTAAGCACCCTCCATTAATTTTTTTTTAATTTATTCTCCGTTAGACATAGAATTTATTTATCAATTTTTGTGGGAGAGCTCATACTTTATGATCAAGACTGTACAATTTTAAAATTTATAAAGTACTAGATAAGAAAAATTCACTTACTACAAGTAGACACAACCACTGGGTGAGCATGACGTTCGCTGTGGGTAGGCGTGTTGAATACAACAGTCTGTACAGATCCCAGAGACGTGCCAATCCATAACGTCGGCATGCCGTTTATATCTTGAAGAAATAATTGAATATAGCATAAATAATCCACGTGTAACTCGTTATCCAAGAACTTTTAATATAATCAACTGTTTTGTATTCATACGATTTTTAAAATGTGTTTTTTTACTGTTCAATATTTTAAACGAGATATCTCATCCATAAGAATAAAAGAATCAATAATAATCAAGCTAGTAATATTAATAAAGAGAACCACGATATGTACATTTCATGCGGATATGCGGAAAAGCAATTTATGACTTTTAAAAGTCAAAGTTTATGCTCATTTACGTACCGTTTTTTTTCGTATAAGAATCCGCAAATGTAAGGCAGCTTATGGTTTCGGTGGTGATATTTTCGAGGGACGACATACTCGAGCTCCTTGATCGTTGGAAGGAGCCGTCGAATTTGTCTATCCGACCAGCGGTCCCAAAAAAAGATTATCGATTATTTATGGAATAAGGCGCGCCACTTCTTTCCGGACTACTAAGAAGCATGCACAATGACTATCAAAATTATTTTTCGAAATGTTTACATCGTCTTTACGTAGTGTATATCACAAAGTGTAATTAGCAAAGTCAGAACACTTATCAGAGAGACAGCGTAGCTTCAAGAGGACAGTAATAATAATGATTGTGACAATGTGTATGAGAATGCTGATTATGGCAACGATGACGATGATGATGACAATAATAATAATAATAATAACAGCGACAGCAACAACAATAACTATCACGATCAAGATATTTCGACTGCAGTTCACAGTATTGATTGTCCTTCATACACTTTCAGACTTATCAGGACTTATGAAAATATCAAATCAGTCATAAATTTACACAGACACATACAAAGACGTACATTCACACACGTATGTACATACGTATACACGTACGCATAAAATCATGTCCAGTTAGAGCAGAATTAGAGAAGTTCACAGACTAAGTCAATCTTGACCAAATAAGCTAGACGAGTGACACGAAGAAGAACCACTCTTGCATGCACGCGTAAAATATCCGGACGATTACCGGATTGTGTAGTGACGAAAGTGTCGTCGATATCGATTAAGTTTTTTACGTTATGTAAATATAAATCGGACCAAATCAATATGTCTTGTGTAGCCTAGTAAGGTTCGTATAAAATGAGACAAACAATTTTATAAAATAATCAAACGTATCATTTGAACATAGTATAATGTTACCTAATATGTACGTAGTACACAATGGACTGATTCTTGAATTTAATTTACAAATGTATAATTATCGTGTTCTATACAGTCCCGACCAAAAATTTGAAAAAATTTTTAACAAATTGAAATCTTTGGCACGATTTTCAAGTATTCGTAACAATATTTTTCAATAATAATTCTACATCCGATAACAATTATTGAATCTAAAGAATTATTATAAAAGAACATACTGTTATTTGAGTAATCTCAAAAATTTTTCATTAATTTAAAAAAATTTGTTTCTAAACTTTTAATCTGTAGTGAATATATATAAAATAAATTTAACTATATTGTTTAACATAATCGTTAACTCTATGCATCCTATAAATTAAAGTCAAATAAGCACTACAAATATATAAAATATTTAAAATATCGCAAAATCCAACGCAAAATAAGGTAACATTATTTTTCTAACAAAAAGACTTTGAAATTTGGCCGATGACTCTTAGAAAATTATAAACAAATTAATACGTAACACAAATAAATTATCACGGTATCGATAATATCAGAGTCGGTTTTAGAGGAGTTGCGTGAGAATCGTCCTAGTTCTCGTGTAATAACACGATAGAAGATAACATTAATGTGCAAAAGGATCGTTTTGCAAACGCGGACAGAACGATAAGCTTTATGATAAAGACGTGTGTTGTTCAGGACGAGAAGATGTTAACCGGTGATATTCGGTCCCACCGATATGTTTGCACATTCACCGTGCACCATCCTATTGTCAATATGTTCACATAAGGTGCATCTTAGATTGTGCATCGAGCTGAGAGGTAGTTATCCGAGAGATGCAACGTTATAGACCACATCTATAAAAGAAGCAGAAATCAAAAGTTTGCCGCAAAGGCGAAAACGGAAAGAACAGGAAAAGAGTATCTCTTTTCAAGAGTGCAGTGTGACAACTAGAGATCACGCAGTCTAGACGGTGTGCCATTTCGTGTTTATTTAGGAAAGATCCACTAAAGAGCATGTACAAGTCAGAAGGAAAGAGATGCAGCGTAGTGAGAACTACCGAAATCATTTTTACATTTAGATCAAGTAAAGACCAGACAGTATCTATTGAGTTTAGACAATAGAAAAACGTATGTTGTGCTGAAAAAATCTCGGGGACAACGTTGCTCACGGTAACATTTAAAAAATCAACTTTATAACCATGAAAGAAAAGAAACAAGTTATTGAAAAAAATAATATTAAAAATCTATTTTAAAATCAATTCTTATTTTACAATGAGAGGGAAGAGTAAAGGTATCGTAGTTATAAATATATGACATGATATCAAAGAATTAATATCGCAAAAATGTATATATACACATGAATTATCCATGTGAAAAATTAAATAATGAAGTTAATAAATTATTTAATTTTTTGAATTGTGTGTGCAACTTGTAATATGTAGCAACATTGTTCAGAGATCCGCACTCTCCGAGCTTAAAAAAAAAAAAACCCGATTCAAGAAGAATCGCTGTATAGTTACAATGAAATCAAACTAAAGGTCAAGCGATCAAAGAGAAGTATAGCTTTCCCATTCGGTGTCATAGAAAGAACAATATATCGGTGGTCTACGTAAGGCCATACATAAATAAAGTGGGCTGTATCGGTAATACTACCAAAGCTGCTATACTGTCTGGTGTTGGTGAGGATATTCTGGTAGTTCAAAGACGTTTGAGCGACGGCTGAGGGGTAGCTTCTCATCTCCGTACTACGCTGAGCGTAGAATAGTGAGACTGTCGGAAAAGCGGCGGCAGCACCCGTGGCGGAGTCCACTTCGAAGTGGCTGGTAGTGGTGCTCAGACACTTCTGGAGCTTCCTTATGCCCTGGGTGCGCGGGTGACGTTGATCTAACGTGACACCCTTGCGAGACATCGTATTAATTTCCTCGTCGGTACCGCTAATCGCGCCGGCAGCGGCACTACGAGTACCCGAGCGAGTTATGTTAACACCAGCACTAGAGCCTCCACCACCATCACTATTGTAGGCGCCGTTGCTGCCGCTGCCACCGGTGCTACAACCATCACTATTATCACCATTGTCACCTCTCTCACCACCAACACCCACTGTACTTCTTCCCGTCACCGGCAATACGCACATCCCGTTCATCTACAAATCAGGCGACAAGTCAAACGTGAAGGCAAACATACGACTCGGTCAATGCTTTAGTTTATAAAGCAAATTTGTGTGTGGACTGAACTCTTTACATGGAAATGTAATGAAAACGCGGATTTTCTATCAAGCTTTTAAAGGAAATAACAAAGGCGCATGGAAAATGAATTTTCATGTTTGTTTTTAATTTTTGCTCTTGTTGGATTATTGTACCGTACAGACAAATGTTATATTTGCACATTATTTTATCATTTATATTCACTCTCTATAATAAAACATATATGATGTACGTCAAACCATTACAGCTTGTTTCGAATGTAATTGTATAACGGTAAAAATATTCTTTTATTATAATTTTTTAATATTTAATTTTTCAATTATTTACAATAATTTTTAATTAATTGAAAAAGTAAATGGAACTAAGACGACCATATAAGCTTAATAGAAATATTAAAAATATTAAATGCCAAATAATATCAAACGAAACAGCGTAGAAATTTATTATAATATGTAAAATTATCATGTTTAAAAATATTTAAGCAAATTTATTTAAATATCACAATTATTATCGATGTGTAGTAAAGCAAAATGTGCTAAAACGTGAATTATTTAAATTTCATAAAATCTCTTTGTATGCATATATATATATATATTTTTTTTAATTCCCACCCTAAAATCGAAGAGGTTCTTAAGCTGTAAATAATGAATAATGTAACAATGAAACTGAAGTAATGAGCTGGAAATTGCTAGTGGAAAAAATGTTGATTAACAATACGATTACTTCCTCCATGTTTGCCTCAATTATTAATTGATGTATGTATGCATATACGCGAAAACATTTCAATAAAGAATTTGCCTCTTCGTTGAAAAGTTCTCATAAATCGAAAACGTTCTTCTCACATTGTTTCGAAATAATGACACGAAACAGATCTTCATTTTGAACAGATGCTGCGTATACTGCACTATTTGAGAAAAATAACTCATCAGAACCGATTATCGGATCTGAGTAACGTGATAAAAGTTTATGTAGACATTTGGAATCGTGGCATCGGAAGCTTCATTAAACAGGAAAATCGAGAGATCGAAACCCTTTTCTTCCACCTCACGACTCTGCGTTCCGTCATGCGGAAACAAATGACAGAGATCACTTGATAAAGATGGACCGAAAAACACTTCCGTTCAATTCGATTGGATGACTTTGTCTCAACTATTCGAGACTTGTCGAGTAAGTTCGATACAATGGTTCATTGTTGCTGTCTGCACTGAGGCTGACGTTACAGAAGATTTCGCAAGAGGAAAACGTAACGATAAACGCCCGCACGTGTTGCACACCTCGTGCTTGGTTGCTCGCTATGTGGAATATCAGCATATTATGCAGAGTCCTCTATAGCAGTCAGTCAATGTCGAGATAAAAATTTGAAATAAAATCTGAAGTAATATAATTCGCAAAGCATTCTGTCGGGAGCGTCTATATAACACGCAACAATTTCGCGCCTTAATTATAATTCAATAAAATATAGAGATGGCTTTTTTGTCTCATTGTCATTAATATGATGCCACGACCATCAGTGTTATTATTATTACTATTACTATTTGCGTGCAAATCATCGAAAAAATTTCCAAAAGCTTTGAAAGCAATATATGTACCGAGAGAAAGGTGTTTGGATAATGTAAGAGTTGGAAAATCAGAAGAGAGAAACCAAATAGTGATTCTACATGTAGATTTGAAGGCAAGTAGATGTACTGCTTGATGTTAATAATTCACAAATGGAATCCGATCTCTTGGATTACCGTGACCGAGCTATAGAACGACAAGAACTCTGCCTATTAATTTGTATCGTGGTAATCATATATATATCTTGACTTGAGATTTCAGTGTCAAGAAGTGTACTTTTCTCTCGGTGATAAGAACAACTGCCAAAATATGAAAAACCTTATTTTTTTACCTGAATCGACCTTGCTGTCGGGGAAGACCGCAAAATTGATTTGAACCTGAAAAAGTGTTAAAGTAGAATCTCTTCAAATTCGTATCGCAGTGTAAATTGTATGAATGGAGGACTTGGCGTCGATACAAACAGGGTTTGCGTTAATCTCCTGTTGATATATCCTGCGAGGGTGAGAGGGCGGGGAGGGATCTTTCCCACATTTTGCGAGCATAAGAACAATGTTTACAAGTAGCCATAAAACTTGAAATGGAGTTGACACAAATGGATATACCACGACCAAACGGGAGGCGATGCATTTTCAAAATATCTACTATGCATTCCAGGTACTGGTAACCTAAGGGGTGGGAATATACTAGAAATCTTAAGTGTACGGCTTTTTCCCGACCTATTGACCTATCAACCATCACAGAGCAGACAAATTGCAAACTAAGAATGATTTGACAAGATAATGGCTTTAAGAAAAGGCAATTGATGCGGTTTAGTGAAGCATTGACATATCTTTTAAAATGTATTCTTCCAAAAATAGTATATCAGAGACACACTTTTTTACGGATATAAATTTAACATACAATAATATAGATATGTGTTTACGCCGGAAGAACTTTTTTGTCCGCACATCTTAGACGTAATTTATCACAACAATTGAATTCTTTGCAGTTTAGAGTCTAACAAGCATCCTCTGATCCACACAAATCAGGAATGCATTTTAAAGAATTATCATTTTCAACATAGATCGCGCGTATTGTTTTGTTCTTTAGCAAAGAATTGTCTGCACTCTTCTATTAATTAAAAGGCCTTGTCTTCATGATCGAAGAAACGTCGACACACTTCGGACATGCCTAATCGTAATGTATCAATGAACTTATTGACTGACCATTATATTAGACTCTACATTTTGCGTGATCAGATTTCACAGCAGTCTCTTATTCCACATAACTATAAAATATTTGCATTACAAGAAATATCTATCAACCAATTTTTTAATTTTGTGTTTTAATCTCATGATGGATGATATCTACGATGTGCTTCTGCTATTAAGTTCTTATACAAAAACCTTGAAAGAGCTACCGTCGTCAATTCACCTTCATTTCTAACGATATCTAATACGTTGAAAATAAATTAATATATAAATAAATGTGTATATAATAATTTTGAATAAATCATCATTTGCATACTGCATTAAAATATATGCAACACATGCTGCTTAAATATACACAATAAACACAAAATAAATTGCTACCGTCAATCATTTTCTTCTGTTTAATGACGTATAGAAATGTGTATCAACAGTATTGCATTATAATTGTGTTGCTATTTTATCAATATGCACTGTATTGAACATGCAATATGTAAAGAATACTAACGGATAACTATGGAAATTTGCGGGCTATATTACTCAATTTTATGTTTTTACGAGCATATTAGATTTATGTGATAATATAGAATCTGAAAAGCTGTAAAAATAATTAATTTACTATTTATTTGTGTTCAACAAAAACTAATCTATCTTTTATAAAGTTTAAAGTTGTCAAAGGAAATTGCAAAAGTTTTGCAAGAGTATATATGTCAAAGAAGCTTATTATTATCACCTATATATTGACCAATTTACCCTAAACATTAAATGTTTCACATAAACCTTTGATAGTGACATGTTATAATGAAAGCCAATATTGGGTAACAAAATTAGAATTATTTCATATATTTTATGAAGAAAAAAAATTATATAACTACAAAATCTCTACTAATTGTTTCTATAATTAAAACTCAAATTAGAAAGTTTCGTATATTTAATATGTCAACAATATACAAGTATATGATTCGATGATAACTTTCAATTTAAACTTTTAATTTAAATTTTGAAAAAATAATAAAAAAGATATTATATATATACTCTATTTTGGCTTGATTAAATTAAACAAATTTAAACGTACAAAATTATTGATATTTGAATAATTTATTTTAGATTAATTTATTATATGATCAAATTTACCCAATCTTGACAAAGATGTAATTAATATGAGTTGTGTTAACGTTTCCTCTGGAAAAAATTTTTAACGCATCTAAGAGCATCCTAGGCTTTGTGTAAAAAAAAAAAGAGGCAGAAGCACGTCCAGGACCAGCCGAGCTCTCTCTCTATGGTTAGTCTACACCCACCACATGTTCTCAACCACAAATACAAATGCAATTTCATTGTTAATCGCACGCTTCCCGATCGATGAAGATTTCGATCGTTAGTAAGATTAATTACACGCATACATTCACATTTAACGTGAAAATCTAACGAAGTAATATATCTCTAAGGACACACGGACGACACATAACGCTCTTCTACGTTAAATGTATAAAAACTTACTGAATCTTCTTATAAAATTGCCGGTGAACGATTCTGAGGTAGCACTCTCCTCGCATCTTAGGTCACAAACGGTTGTCTCGTTCTTGGAAAATTTTAGATTTGGCACCGAGAGTAAACGGCCTTCTCTCTTTGCTTGTTTGATCTTGGCAATATATTTCAATCTCGGTGGTTTTGCATCGTGTTCGGGCAAAGACAAGTTCATCGGTCTTACCGCTTCAGTTTTCGCACCAATATTGTCATTGCTTATTATCGTTTTCTCATTCTCGTTCTCCGTCGGGCTTCTAGCCTCTTGGATCTCTTGCTTCTTGTCATCGGTCTGAGGACTCTCGTGTCCAGGAGATTGACTCTCCGGCGATAACGAGGACTCAGAGTCAACACTTTCGACTGGCGACAGCGAACGACTTGTGCTGGTCGCTTCGTTGATATTGCAGTAAAACGTGGAAGACTTTTGACTGTCAGTATCGCTGCTTATCTGCTGGCATTGAGGTACTTGCATGAGCCCCGACGACGAGCTCTTTCGGAAACATAAATATGTACATTGTAAAACAATATTAAAATTATATAAAAGAGCAGGAATATACTTTCACTAATAAAAAAGTAAGTTCCGAGACGTAAACACTCGAGACTAATTTCTCTAAATTTGTATAATTATTCTGTATAATTTAAAATTAAATATTTCTTTCATAAACTTATAAGTCAAATAAGAAAAAAAACTTTATATTGTACTAAACTTATAAGATACACATATTACATTGCAGAGGTATAAAAATGTAATGTAAATGTGTGTTGTAGGTTAACAACTAAAATGTTTTAAGATATTTTGCGTAAATGTAAACCGCACAAACAATAATGATAGAAACACGAAAAACTTAACATTATTGACAATATATAAAATAATGATAAAAAAAATAAAGCACGTATTAAAAAACATACAAGTACCCCATCATTCTGAGACGACACCGAGGACGGTGTAAAAGTATTTTTAATCTTCAGATCAACCTTGCTTAGTTGTCTTTTGAGACTAAATCCCTTCCAACCTTGGCTTTTCTGACACTCGTCGCCGTTAGGAGTGTTACTCGCTTTATTGGATTCATTCATGGTTTCCTCCGCATTCGGTTTATCGCTACTGTTTCCAGTCAGACTCTCATTGCGAGAACACTGTTGTTGTTGCTGTACTTGTTGGATCGAATCCGCTATCCTTGTAACTATCGGCTCGGATTCCATCACGGATTCTCGCTGACTCTGATGGATTTAAGATGTTGGGCTTTGCACAATCAATCAGTTCGTAGATAAAAAAAAAAGGTATATATATTGGACCTAATTCTAAAAACGGATTTTAAAAAGGATTTTATGCAATTTTCGCGTTCGTGTTCCGTAAGTGTCCACTAATAGTGGTGTAGACTAATCCCTTATCGTGCTACCGTACGATCTGCCGTGTCTGTAAAAACGCGTGAAGTAGAAACATGCCTACTAAAGAAAAAGCACAATATAAAATTTAAACTGAAAGCTACTACAAACGTATGGTCACTTGTCACTTCCCAGGCTCGTGAAAAAACTTGAATTGAAGAGTGCAGACAGGACAATGATTAGATTCGAGATTTTTTTATTAAATCTGTCTGCCTACTCTTGATAGATGCCTAAGATGCTCGTAGAGACGTAGGCCTTCGATATTGCTAGTCAATGAAATATTGTAATGTATCATTGTATAAATGACGATTATTATGTCTCACTTTTTTAATGATTATTCGTAATGTTGAATAAACTTTCAGAGCATGAAGAGTATTGTTTGACAACTTCTTCTCGCTATTGAATCATTTTGAGAATTGAATTAATAAATTCTAGATAATGAACGATCAGATTAAATATTATAAATATATTATCGTATGTGTATATAGGAGTATTTAAAAATATCGCACATTATCATTATGCTTGATATGATTCATAAATGAAAAGAATACGATTAATTGTGCTGGCACCTTTATACATGAATTATTAATAGTTTTTGTCGAGGGTGTCTATAATTTTCTCTCAAAGAGAATAATATGAAATAGCAATCATTGAATCTCAATGACATTACAAATCCCTGGAAAGAAAAATCCCTAATTTATGAAAAATATAATTTGAAACCAGGTTATACGTTACTGAATTAACATATACATTTCATATTTGTGCAGTAATTAAGTTACAAGTCTTATCTACACTGTTCATGGAAAATAAACAAAAAGAAAATCAACAAAATTACATACATATGTACTAACGAACATGCGAGTACATTTATAGAAATACTGCTGGAAGATAACTGGATACTGGCTTCATAAAATAGCTGCGAACAGTTGTACCATTTGTTTGATAACAATTCTCATTTGATTTGTCTTAAGCGTACATGATGATCTTAAACAATGTGATATATATAATGTATGCATTACATCAGTAAGATGACAGTACTAAGCGCTGGTAAAAGTAGAGCAAGCATATACAAAAATGTCACGTCTATCTAATTATTTAATGAATTGAATATCATAAATTTATATGGTTCAATAAACTTTACTTTCACAACCAAAGTAGGAAATAAATTGTAATTTTTAGCAATAGTCACAAAATTTTAGACTTTAAAAAAAAATATACAATGATTTAATTTAATTTCACATATGTATAAAAATTTGAATGTCACTTGATAAAATCTCATAATGTTGTTCATTTATTAGCAGTTAATTTAATTTCTTCATTAAAAATGATTACATACAATAAAATAAATGACAAAGCTTCTATAATACTTCAATATTAGAAAAAAAAGATATAAAATATTATTAGTATTACATAATTGTACGAAACATCATAAAATGTTTTATCTTACTTGTAACATTTCTATATCGATATATCTTTAATCACCTGCTAAATATTTCATCAATAATTGTGCAATGCTGACATTTACTGATGTGATGTACATATATAGCTGAAACATGTTATAATTATTATTACACAAACACATTTTGTTTGTACTAATAAATTATTGTACATAAACTAAAAATATTTCTTTATAAGAACATTTGTTTTATTATCTACAATCTCCAAATTTTTATTTTCTAACATTATACTACACCACCAATGTTACGTTAAGAAAAATATATAACAAATAGTTTTTAAAATTCTGTTACTAAGTTAACATAATTGTTAACATAACAGTATAGCAAACATCAATTAGTATACACTGCTACTAATCACGTACACAAAGAAAAAAACACCCATTTAAAAACATAATTTAGTAATTAGACATCATTTTTAAGTTCTTATTTCTTTTAACTTCTCAAACATAAAACTTTTCTAAATACTTGATATGCATATGATGCTTTTGTTATCTGAAACGATCTTTTAAATTTAATGTACTTAACAAAATTTTTTGTTCTATAATACATCATACATAAATTACGTGAGCACTGCTAATGTCTCGCGTAAAATTTATGTTGCACATTTATATTTCTCATGCATTATTGTATTTTATATTAATTTCTAATGATCTATGTTATACAATAAAAAATTTATGAGCAATGTTGTAAATTTTTATAAATAATGTAACATATGCACGTACATATATATTGTATACATTTTTACAAAATAACATTTAGTTTTCGAAGCAAATTAATTAGAAATTATAACGTCAATATTATTTCTATAATAATAGTTATAAGTACAAGTACTTTGCATTTAAATTTTTCATATGAAGTCTATGCACATGCACAGATCCCACCAAAAGTTTATATATAAAAACGTTGCTATACTTATTACGGACTAAGTAACTAATGTTTTTAATACTGCTTTTCTATATTATTTCTACTTTCTCATTTGTTTATTTGTACTCATTTACTACATTCAACATTTTATTATCCAATTATAGATTAAATAATAAAAACCGAATTCGTATCACCAATTGCTAGCTACTCAAAAATAACATAATAATATAAACAATAATACTGATAATAGAACAACATTGTACAACAAAAAAAAAACATAACAATTTCTTCAACAAAAATATATTTGATCTTACTTGCTTCAATGGTAGACACATAGTAGTTAGCTAAACATTAAATGCAAAATATATGTGAATACAATGGAAAAAAGCGTTATGTTATATATAAAATTACATTAACAAAATTTTTTTATGATGAAATATAATAAAACACTAATATTTTTTTATAATATTTTATATGTATGTACTGAGATGTACACTTTCTTAAATAACTTTAACACTTTGCCATAACAATAAAGAAACAAGAAAAGCCTATCGTTATAATCTATAAAGAAAATCTTCTCCACATGGAAAATGACAAGATTGACCAATAGTTGTCGATATAAAATCCTTCTTTATGATACGAAAATTTTTTAAAATAAATTTTTTAAAAACATGTTTTTATTAAACTTAACAAAGATTACGTTGTTTAAGTCATCTTTAAATATATTAAAAATTAGAGATTATTCTTCTTAAGGTACAACTGCTCGAATTTTGTCAGATATATTTAAAATCACAGTTGTTTTATTTTTCTAATATTATATGTTATTGTCTAATATTATCCGAAAATTTACTAAGCAGAAAGTTTAGAACTCTCTTGGATATTTTTATTACTAATAAATTTATTTAACATTACATATATTAAAATAAAATAAAAATAAAGTATAAGAAACATCCTGTGTGTAATTTATTTATTGTAACATATGGAGAGAGAAACTGTCACTAAAGAATTTTATAGATGAATAAGTATATATATAATAAATTAAATATTTAATATTCCATTTAATATAATTATATATTGAATGGTTTAAACGTATTTCAAAGTAATTGCAAGTATTATCTTTTTACTCTATTCAAATTTAAATGCAAATAAAATACATATAATATACTTTTAAAACACTTAAAGAAATATTCTTAGCAATAAGAAAATGAAAAATTAAAGAATTAAATAATATGATAAAATTAATTTCTACATACTAAGAAATACCTAATAACATATCTTAAAATCACACTTGTAGCGACTGTAAACATAATAGCAACTTAGTATCCTTAAAATTCGATGAAACACCGTTTGTTTCCATATTTCCTAATTTAAAAACAATGTTTAATTACTTATTAAAAGACAGTTTTATTATCTTTATTAGATGTTATTAAAATATTGTATATTTTAAATTTTAATTAAAATATCTTTTACTTATATAATCATCTTTGATTAAAAAAATATATTATTCGCGTGTACTTAAATGAAAATGAATACTTTGCCTTTTTGTTGCCAACATTTATTTTAGCTTTACAATATATTTAAAACAGTTTTTTAAAAAGATGAGATTATGTAATTTTTAGCAAATTATGCTGTAATGTACAAAATTACAAGAATTTTAGAGCATAATAAAGAACAAAATTGTAGGAAGATTCCTCAGACAAAAGTAGACTAGTAAATTACAATAAAAATCTTTAGGTCATTACTTTTTATTAACAAAATATGTACCTGTGCAAGTAAACAAAATTTAGATAGATTTTTTATACGCATCCGTGTAATGATAATTTTTTAAACATTATATTGAGATAGTAATTTATATTTACCGAATTAAAAAAACATTTCAATCATAAAACTTTAAACTGCGATATTCTTTTTAAACTCTTTTACGTAGTTATAGCAATTTATTTATGTAAACATTTTGTAATCATGCAATAAAAAATAATGTTGGCACTTAGAGAAAGCGGAATGCAAAATGTAAAAGTTCTAGGTCCTTCTAGATAAAATCAAGGGTAAGAACTGGGAAAATTTCAAAATGTACACAAAATTCTAGTAGAAAAAAAAACATTTTACCTGATCTGTACTTGGACTTCGTGCCTTATCTTCATTTTCTCGTTTTAATTCGTCCTGCCGTTTGGGACTTCGCAAGACGCGTTGATAAGGATCGCCACCACCAAGATCACTGGTGTTCAATACGACTAAAGAAATCTTCTGCACGATGTCCACTATCACTAACCCTGACTCATTTCCATAGGCCAATCTAAACATTAAAATATTGTGTTGCATACTCTCTGTCTGATATGCAATGACATTTTTGAAAATTTATGCCTGATAATATATGACAATGTCAATTCAATTACGAAATTCTCATATACATTAATGGCTAATGCAATCCTATAAATTTACACTCACAGGCCGTATGAGGAATTTAAATTAAGGGATGTTATATTTTCGGGTAATTCTCCAGGAGGTGCAGTTGTCAAACAAATCAATGTCGCTTGAAAACCGGCTGGCCTTTTCTGCAGACCCGTTTTGACTTTGAGCGGATGATTGAATTCTATAGTCTTCGTTTCTACATTTCCTACGGTGTTTCCGGTTGCAGGAGACTCACGATCTGGTGAATTGTCCGCTTCTTTTAATGGATCCACCGATAAGCATATTTCCAAAGTCTGTGATATCGAAAAAGACACGAAAAATAAACAAAGAGAATACTGTTCTTGTGTAAGTAAGATTTAATGAAGTGATATAATAGATTAAAAAAGAATATTAATAGTTTCATTTTAAGTTTATTAATAACAAGGCTGGGTATGTATTTTAAATATGTAATCTTTTTTTAACACATTTATAATGCAATTGTATCTCAGCGGAGTATATAAAAATATTTTGTATTTTATATTTTAAATCAAAAGAATAAAAATATTTTATATTTTGTAGTTCAAACAATAAAATTGATTGTCAATCTTAGTATTCGAAATACAAAATACTTGTGCAGAAAGATAAAATATAATTGTATTATTAATACTCTCTCTCTGTATTAAAAAAAAAATTTGACATGTCCAGCCCTGACTAATAGATAGTAACGGAAAGAAGTAATATATTAGTAAATGACACTTACCACTACTTCAGACATACTTTCAATCTTTTTAAATTTGAACAACACGACATGCTTGCCATTTCCTGCAATAGCTAATTTTCGACTTTCAGGACAAAGGAAGATAAGTTGAATCGCTAACGGATCTTCTTCGGAATCTACACTACGCGTTCTAGTTTTTTCAAAAAGCTTCGCCGTCTTTAGTTTGTAAAGGACTTGTAATGTTCCCGCAGAAGCGTCCCAAAATTTTATACTTCCATCGGCATGCCTGCGGACAACATACGTAGTGTTATAGCAATTTAAGTAACTTATTGATTATTGCTTAACTTGTGATAGGCTGTAACATATATGTAAGTACATAGTAGCATGTACATCATGATCGTGCATGTATTTTAATTTATCAATACTATCATGATTAATAAAAAAATCAATTTATTTATTGGTACAAAGTTGTATCTATGATAATATTACCCCGTAAGAATAATTTCGTTATAACTGCTAGAACTGGAGCTCCATTCGCCACCGGAGATAGGCCATTCTTTCTCGCTAAAACCAGTCTTTTTCTGTGACTTCGAACCAACGGAATAAAACGCAGGTACTAGATCTGAAGGGCAATCCGCAAAATATGCACAACATGTCACAGGAGATTCATGAATATCCATAGGATATGGATTCTCAAAACAAGGGAATCCAGTAGTTAACAAATCTATCACAACCAGATCATTTTGTATATATATATATATATATATAATTATTACTGATAAAATGTATATTGATAAATTTTTCATCATTTACACTGTAGTTGATAAAGATTACAACTGGAAGTTACAAAGAAAAGTAATATTTCACTTAAAAACATTAGAAAGCATGTTTTACTGTACCACTAGCCCATGGACTATCACACAACGTTATAAAGTCTATAACATTATGTTCCATTTCGAGCACCGTAGTAGTTTTTCCATGTATCACTGTAATGCTGGGTGTTCTCCCGGTGGTGTCCTGTGCTAATCCACCAGAGAATATCACATATGCTTCTCTGAAAGTTTATGTTTAGTCCGTATATTATTTAAGATTAATGGATAGTTATTACTTAAAACTTTAATATAATCATATAACAAAAACTATTTCATATAATTTTACCCCGATCTCGATAATTTCCATTCTACTTTTTGAATGGCTTTGCAACGTTCAGGTTCTCCATCTTTAGAGAATTTTGCTGAAAAAAAGGTATTATACAAATTTTATGATCGAATAAATAATAGAATAAATAATAGAATTATCAAATCTCACCATGTGGAAATGTTATACTCGGTTTTAATTGCCGAATAGTCCAAGTCGAAAGAGAACCATCCGAGTGGCTGCACATGAATTGTTTACCTTCATGATGCCATGTTATCGATGTTAATAAATCATCTGTTTGACATCTATAGTCAGCAATCTTGGTTTTTAAATCCCATAAAACAATTTGCCCTGACGAATATCCTATAAGCATCTGAAAACAAAGCATTCACGCATATAAGAGAAATGCGCTTTCTCATATTAAAAGTTCCTTGAAACAAGACACGTGGATATATATATGTATATAAATGTGTATATATATAGGTGACGAGAAATGTTCTTTTACAATAAGTCTCGATTCTGTTGTCACGACAATACATTTAGTATATACTAGAGAGACCAGGTATAAAAATGTTGTGAACAATGGTTTCTACAAGATTTGTGCAAAGGGCACAGATAAAACTTAGAGATACGATGATTGCGCATGATGTTAATTATCGACTGCTAAAGAAGAACGAATGAGATGGACGAAAGATTTTCATAATCGAAGACAAATTAATCAACAAAGCAGATTATTATAAACGCGATCGAAAAAATTTATTTGTAATAAGCAAAACTAATTATATACAAAATAATTTAATTATATCAATTTTAATTTTGTCGTTAAATATGAAATTAAAATACCTTCCATTTGAAAGACTTAAATTTCTCAAATTTCGTTCACTTAAATTTCTCATATTAAATTTCAGTTTCATAATTATAATCCTTTATGGTATTTTACGTAACATCACTGTTTAAAGGTAAGAATGTTTTAATGTGTTTTGATACTCTTAGAGACAGAAAATGGATATAATTGACGGGTATCGCTTAAAATGTGTACATCCTCAGTAATTCATTTATCTATACGATTTTAAAAAGCACTTTTCTATAACAAATAATATTATCGTAAAGAAAATAGTATACACTTCCTTACACAGTTATAATGGAGAAAAAAATAGTATATTTATACAATATTACATATATAATATCAAATTTTAATAAAAATATGTATAAAGGACTCTTGTTAATAAATAAATTTTAAAATGAATAAAGGGCATAAGAATCAAAAATTAAAACTAATCTTAAATGTCAATTCTATTTTTCATTTCTTATATGTTGAAAATCTGAAGATGGCTTGATATAGAAACCGAAACATGTAATTATTTAAATGTCAAGATCATATTTGGTATAAAAACATATTGTTAATAATAATCTTCTTTTTTTATCTTTGTAATATATCTTTAAATTTGACATTTAAGATTAGTTTTAATTTTTTACTCTTATGCCCTTTATTCATTTTTAAATTTATTAAATTTTAAATTTATCGATATCAAAGACACAGAGAGTTGCAAACGCAACCCAAACACACAAACACTCATCACACACTCATGACTGCACAATTATATAGTAAGTAAATAGAAGATATATATTGCATAAAGTCCGTAACAGAACTCCGTTGTTAGAAGTTGAACTAACAGTAAATTCACATATCAAATGTGTAAAAAGATGAGTGATCATGACCGCGGAATGACTCTTCTATCGATTCATAAAATTTAAATTCATTTTGAAATATTAAACAATATGGATATTCTCCTTCTTTTTCTTTCTTAATGAAATAGGCGTTTAGATTCTCTTTCGTTTGTATACACAACAGTGACAGCATGCACGCATGCACACATACAACATGCAAGCACACACTTGCACTTAGCTTGGATCTAGATAAATAATCCAAGTTTGTACAAAAATATATTAAATAAACGCCAATCACGCGCGTTAACGTTTCTTCTTCTTTTTTTTACGCGTCACGATAAAATTGAATAATGTTAATAATGAAATTATGATAAGGATGGAATAATAATGCAAAAAAAACGTACTCAAAAAACGCGCGTACCTTGCTCAAATCTAAAGGATTATCACTCAAGTGTACTACAGCACCAGGGTGAGTCTTTCTAGATCTGAAAAATATATATATGTATATACACACACATGTATAAGAGAACCATTATTTTTGTGTTATTGTGAAACATATATAAAACTCGTGTGCGGTCTTTAACCGGTGTGTTTTATTGTAGTTTTACCGTTGTGTTCAGCTTATAAGTGTTACATTATTTAATGTGTGCCGATAATATCTTTATATATTAATTGGCACTGTGTTATATATTTCAAGAAAATACGATAAGAAAATCGTAGTTAATTAGTATACAAAGAATAAATAACAAAGCATTCCTAAATAGATATAATAAATAGTTAAAGATTTTGTAGCGTATTAATGCCAATAAATCAAACGTACAAGTATTAATAGGCTTTGTCGATAGTAATGAATTTTCGGAAAGTAGAAAGAAATCACAGGATTTGCTTATATAAGTTATTTTAAGTGTCTCGCTATTGGGAATTATTCGTAACTAATTATTCATTAACATCTGGTATAGCCACGTTTGTTCGTGACTTATTTACTAGTGAAATGAATATTCTCTGACGCAAGTCCTATCGCGTAAGGTATATATCTATGTCAAAAATAAAAATAAGTCAATACTCTTTTGACTGTCAGACAATTTTGAACTGGACTAATTTAGATTAGCTAATTTCGATATCAGTCGACAACTGATTAATTAATAACCTTTCATTTATATTATGGATATATTAAGTCCCAATGGTGGTACACTTATAATGAGCACCCTTATACCATCACTGTCACATTCACATCTATGTGTCTACAGTCAGGCACAATAAAGAACTACTAAGGTCTCTGACGTCTGTTCCTTCCAGTGTTAATAAGGTATAGGTACATAGTACTAGTAGAGCTTTTTATTGGGGAAATAACCTCCACAAACGAACGTAATCCGTCCACCAAAATTTAATTGACCCATACATTCACACATTTAGGACACAATCTCGAACGACACATCCGTTATAGGAATTAGTGGAAACGGGATTTGAAAATACATCTTACTTTTCACTCATCTTTTTGAAAAATATTTTCAAAAGACATTCTTTCTCGAGACAGCAAGTGCTAATCTGTTATGTAAACGTCTTATAAGGATTACACAAATAACTAAATATATACCCCTTTTAAGATGAAATATTCTTTAAGCCACCACATAATTCCTTACTTAATGTTATAAATACAGATTTATTAAAGTAATAAATTTTTAAAGACGTGCACATGAGACGCGTATTTTATATCAATTAACAAAACAGCGAAGAGGAAATTACAGCGGCTTGGAAAATGTTTATCAAATTAAAAGAAGTATCCGCAAACATACCTGAGATATTTTGCCATAATACAAACTTAAAGTGCCAATATTGTAAAAATTTTAAATAAATTTTTTATCAAGTTAACATTGTTGTTTTTGCGGAATGTCTTTCCGTTTGCTTTCAGAAAATTTCATTAAAACAATGCCTAATTAATCAAGCGCTAAACGTTCAGAGGAAATTCACATCGTATTATTGCCCTTTGTACCGAAGATCCTATCGCTGAAATCAATCATGTTAAGTGGCAGTTTGCTTCAAAATACTTACCTTAATGTAACAAAAATATTAAATGTGTTTATATGCTGACAATTCATGAAAATAAAAATTACAGAAATTGTCATTAAAATTTATTATGCTTTGCATGCGTTTATATCGACATACGGTTGCATTTTTTAAACGTATCAGCGTTCGTATACAGATATACACCGGTTTATGTGTTGCGCTGCGCTTCTCTTATTAAAATTACCAAATATCGTAATAGCAAAAATGTTATGTACTTACACTTCAATAGCCTTGTTCCAATTAATTACATATCCGGATAGAACAAACGTTTCAATGTGCAGTATATGAATATTTCCTCGATCGGTCCCAATGTACAACCATTTACTTTGCAGTGGTAAATGTATGCAAGTGATTCTGTCGAAAACGAATATTACACGTTTCGATTAATACTCGACGGCCGAAAAGTTCAAAGTAGTTTAGTCAGCGCTTGCGAAATGTGAAATCTTTCAAGTATATCACATTCCACTCGTGCAATGTATGATTAAAAGCCGTTAAGGTGTATACCGCAAAAGAGCGAAGCTCAAAGCTTAAAATTAAGGAAAGTAACGTTAGCCCCGTCGCGTGTTAATGACTGACCTGTCTCTCTGAAACTTGAGGCTATGTACCACCTGCGGTATCTTCTGACGGAAGTTCCACAAATGCAAGGTGTCGTCCTCCGTAGCGGACACCAACGCTCCTTCGTTGATCAGGAACTGCAGTCGTAACACGGGCGAACATTCTTCGTGTTTAACGTGTGCATCCACGCCCGGTCTACCCAAACTGTATTTTTTTTTCATCCCATCAAATTAATTAAGAAAAATTATCTGTATAGATTACGAGTTGCGATTATTAAATATCGTCGCGCGTTAACACTTTGATTGTTAAGTTGATTTTGGCATGAAGCATAAATCTAGTATATTATTATTTTAATACTTTATTTCAGTATACTTAGGTAATTTATATTGGTTTTTTTAAATATATCTTAAATAGATAATAATAAAATCATTCTTATGTTCATTTCTATCAATGTAGATAAACTGAAATTAAAGTTAATTTATATTGATAGAAATAAACACGAATCAGATAAATAAAACCATTACTTATAAGAAATAAGTGACAACATTATTACACATATTGATACGGTTTTGCTAAAGTCTCTAAAAATTTAACTATGTAAGTGTATAGCTGAAAATAATTTTATTAAATTATCAAAATAATTATGTAAGATGCTTAAGCTGGTTATTAGAATATCAAAATTAAAAAAAAATTGCTCATCATACTTCAGTTTCCTACATAATTATTTTGATTCATCAAAATTATTTTCAAAGATCTAACTAAATTTATTTAAGTTCTTAAAATTTTGTATATGCACACGAAAATGTTATAACACGCGAGATTCAAATATGAGCAACATGGCAGTCAAAGTGTTAATCACAAATCCACACATACAATAGAACGTCCTCTATTATTTCACCACGCAATAGCCTATTAAAAGCTTGCGTATATAAAATAGCATAAAGACACAAAAGTCGAGGGAAAGAGATATTGTTGGAAAAATCCGGTCGATACCAATCCAATCGTATCGCACAAATTCGTTAACTCCCGCAAGCCAGTAAAGTCTCTTAAATACGTGAAACCGTATAAAAATTTTCATTTACAGCGAAATCGACAGCGAAGATGGGAACTCTTCCGTTTATAGTTCATCGCGATAGTTGGTAATGCCCACCGAACTGCGATGAACATCTATTACACTTTGGCCATGATAGATCAATGAAATCGCTGACGTGTAAAAACACACGGTCGAAGAGCCACGAACCGACAGGACCGTGTAATTAATCCGCTAAAATTGTACAAACCCGTTGTATATCCGAAATTTTTTATAACGATCACAAAAGCAGGGATGAGTATCTACAGTTTTTACTTCCGCCAGTACAACAATTCTCGATACAAGCGTTGTTTTGCTATACAATAACCGAATAACACGAGTATATACGCGGAAAGAACGATTTTGCTGAAGTATTTAAAAATTTAGTTAGATACAGATCTGAAAATAATTTCGTTGGAACATCAAAATAATTACGTAGGAAATTTAAGCATGATAAGTATGCTGTAAAAAGTTTTGACATTCTAGCAACCTGACAGTTCTAAGCGTTCTACATAATTATTCTGATAGTTTCACGTTAAAAATAAGAAATTATTTTCAGTGCATCTAATTAAATTTTTTAATACTTCAACAAAACCGTCCTCTCTATACTGTGCCAGTATATTTACTGGTGACACACGCGGTCAAGAAAAAAATTTGACATTCACTCAACGCTACGCAGTAGCAAACATATAGTGCATTAAAAAAAAAAAAGAGAAAAAAAGAGAAAGAAAAAAGCGAAAATTGTATCACGTTGCTGGTATCAACGGGTCGATCCGACTTTCGCGTCTCTTTAATCGCCACGCGCATTCTCTTCTCCCGTCGGCAAGAAAAAAAAAACGTTTAATTGCGGAATGCCGCCCCATATTAACGATAACGTCAAAGGATACATCCTGAGGGATCCTGATTTAGTGCCAATAGCTAGGAGCCTTTGAACTGGGTCGAATGCCAACGCTGTCGGTTGATGCGGGAAGCCGTGTCTGAATGTCTGTAACATAAAAGGTATCCGTTTCATGTGCCATCTTTCCTGCTTTAGCCGCCTGGAAGTGACTATTCATCTCCGTAAGGGTTGCGAAGATATATCAGACGAGCCGAGGGAATGGTATTGTTTCATCGACTTCTATTGTGTGCACCTCGTGGACAACCTGCAGGCTACTGTTAATTCTATACCTTTGTTGCCTGTAAATGTTAGCGATACGTATTGTTCATCGCGGGTATTTAAAGTCGGCTTCATCGGGCATTATCCTCGATTTTCCATAAAAAGCCGCTCCCTCTTCGTCGTCATTAGGATGGACCGTTACCGAAGGTATAGGAACAAAGTATGTACATCTCACCCTCAACTCTAAACTTTCTAAAGAAGTTTTTCCCTCACGCTGTAAAAGTAGGTATTTTTATGGGACGAAACTTACGTCACGTAAAGTAACGCGACATGCGACACGGGGGCCGTATATGCCGATATAGAACGTCATGACTTACACCGTTCTCCGCTCAAGAAACTTGGCTTAAAACTTTGCTCCGCTCAGCTTTACTGTGCGAAGCGAGGGGGTGAGGTAATCTTATGAAATAGAAGATGCGCCTCGCTGCGCGCTTTTCGCGGAACTTGCACTCGCGATCGTCTCCGTTGCGACGCACATCAACGACTATCAAAGTCAGTGTAAAAGAAAAAGGAAAGAAAATGAGAGAGTGGATGTCTCGAAAAAATTCGGAAGATGTACGTCGTACAAATCGGCGATCACGTGAACAAGCTGCGGAAAACCTTATACCTATTCTTTTTAACTTCTTGCACAGTTCATCTTTCTTCTTTTTCTGTTCACGTTGGCGGGAAAAAGAGGAAAAGATGAACCATGCAAAAAGTTAAGCTGAAAAGAACCTCTTGTTTTAGGACTAACCGCGAGCGCGATCGGTGGAGGAGGTGGAAAGCACACACGGGCGACGTGCATGCTTTCGAGGTCGATTTTGGTGCAACGGGACTCCGCCAACCGCTTTTCGCCGCTGGTGAAAACTGCCCTCGTTCCATTTCACCGGCCGCATCACCACTGGTATAGGCGCCGGGGGAAGTGGGTTAAAATACAACGATACGAAAGTTACGATCGCCCACAGGAGGAACCTCCCCTCTCCCCCTCCCTCTCCGCTCTACCTTCCGCCACGGGTTCCCCGATTTCGCCAATGTCCCCGAGGGAGGCTCGCCCACGCGCAATTTCCGCCGAGCCGGCTTGCCGGGTCGCTGATGGACCCGTCGTTAGCGCAAAGTATCTTGCACGAAAAATTACCCGTGTAGAATAAAAAGATTGCAGAGGATTTTAGAAGCTATGGAGTAGGCGGAATAATTCAAGTAGCACAATTAATCGTATCATTTCATTAACGATATACTTATATCAAAGATATTTATTTGCGATATATTCCACTAGAGATAATTCAATGTTGCTGTAATATCAAGATTGATCGATATTTCGTTACGTTGATAAAAGTAACACAATAATTAAAAGTTTGTATTTTTTAATAAATAAAGAAAGAAAATTGACTTTAAGACTAATATACTTTAGGCCAAAAGTTTGAAACACTTTTAAAAAATTGACATTTTTGGGATTACTTATTCAAGTATCTACAATGCATCTTCAGACAAAGCAACTTTTTCTGAGCGCAGCCATTATTCTGGATATTTAAGTAATTCTAAAAATGTCAACTTTTAAAAAGTGTTTCCAAACGTTTGGCCTGGATGTATTTTTATGGAAAAACACATTTGTAGTTCATTTGCTTGTATGGAAAATGTCACAATTCTTATAAGAGACGAAGTTTACGCTATACTAGTCTCTACAACATGAAATATTACAGCAACATTGCAGTAATATTACTTTAAAAGATTGCAATATTTCATAAAACATCGCTACAATATTGTATGATATGGACATGTTCCAATGTCCATAAAGTAAAATATCACTGCAGTATTCGTGCTGTAGGAGGAGAAGGAGTTATACAATGTGTTCAAATTTTGAAAACTTATGACATTATAGTTTTAAAAAATATATTATATATAATTAAAAGTATATAACATAGAAAGAAAGTGAAATTAAAATGTTGCTCCAATTTTAAGAAAGAATTTTTTAAATGCTCTACTTAAAAGATTGCTAAGTTTGAGATGTGTCACTTTTTCTATCAACGCAGCGATATCGAGGATTTTTTACACGGTTCGTTTATACCTTCATCGCTTCATTGCGTGCGAATAAAATCAGGTCAGAAATCGCATCGGTCAAATGGACGCGATCCTTACAATGCTTATCATAACGTAGCATCGATGGACTTCGAAATTGTTAAATTTCTAATTTGCGAGCAAACGTTGGAAGTTGTTAGTCGTTCTCGTGCGAGGAAAGTGTTGTTCTGCATGGAAACGCTGACGCGAAACTATTGACCTAATTCTAAAAAGATACGTTGTGTTTAAACAAATTTCCTTAATCTGTTTGTTTGAAAATTTACACTTTTGCATTCTAGGAAGAAATTCGAATTAAGTATAATGCAAAACGAGCGATGGATGGATATAGATAGGTGTAGATAGACAAATATAGATACCGTCATTTATCGAACGCTCTAGGAACGCATTCTCTCAAGCGCTAAACAAAACAATTGATCAAATAAACTTTATTATAAAGAAATAAGAACCAAAATAACAGTAGAAAAAAAAAACGGAAAAAAATACAGAGAGAGAAGGAGAAAAAGAAATTTCCCGTGACAGATGTAATTTCGCGACCGCAGAAATTAATCCGCTCACGCGGCACGGCGGGTATACGGATTATCGTCAGGCAGAAAGCGTTTCACTCGATCGTATTATAGCGTGACGATTGTATTGTAATTTGCGGCGACAGGACGGGGCTTACCCGACGCCCTGCAGGCGCGACAATCCGCGAGCAAACACACATACACGCACGATGTCGGGCCACGTATGTACTCTCTCAACAATGCGAATAAAAATTTCCCTGAGCCACGCTAGCCACAATATGGCAGCACATTCAAACGCCTCCGATCCGAGAATACACAAATTCACCGATTGATCACAGCTTCGTTTCTATATCCGTTTTGGCAAACGCGAAATGTACATATAACCGTAAGAAAGCACATATTTACATACGCTTATAGACAATTATAAAGGTCTTTTAGGATCAGCAGCCTATTTTCAGAAGATTGAGTCGGGTATAGCGAAAGATTCTTGCTAACTAAACGGCTATGCAAAAAGAACAGTTTTGCTGAAGTATCTAAAAATTCAGCTATAGATACAGACCTGAAAATGATTTTGTTGAATATTAAAATAATTATGTAGGATACTCGATCTCTCGTTCAACCTGATTGTTAAAATATAAAAATTTATTGTAGCGTTGCTTACTGTGCTTGTGAGATTTTTATATAAATATTTTTATGTTTTTTATAATATTATATAAATATTTTAATCTATATATTAATATTTTAAATTTCCAACAAAATTAGTTCAGATCTGTGTCTAGTTAAATTTTTGAAATTTCCGCAAAATCATTGTCTCTGTATAAAGATTGGATTAACGTAAAATGCATTCTGCTTCCTGGCAACCTCTAATTTTCATCAACCAAACGAAATGAATGAAACAATGAAATCATATAGCATTCAACAAATTAAATTTGCGGTCAAACAGATGCTGTATTATGAAACTTTAAACACGAGACGGCGTAAATTTGTAAGCAAAAACGACATTTATCTTTATACAGCTCCGCAATTAATAATCAATTAATTCTACCTCCTATACGATATAGTTATATCAGCTTCCTAACGCTCGTTCGCGGTATTACACAGCGCGAGATATGTTTATATCGTTTATGTTACCGAGATAATATTTAATTAACTGTTCTCCGCGTGTTGTCGATACAATCGTAAAAGAGAACTATAATAGTTTGATTTTGTTACACGGAAAGAATATTTTTGTTCGAGCACCTAAAAATTTAAATAACTGCCGATCTCAATAATTATATTGGACCATCAAAATAATTAAATTGGACACTTTTCAAGCTGACCGCTACAATTCAAGAAAAAATAGCATCGACAATTGTATAAGTGACAAATGTACAAGTTTTATATTATGTATAATTAAAGTATGTCATTAGATAAACTATTTTAAAGTCGCGATAATGTGTATTAGTTAAATGAATTATTTTACAATTATGATGATTATACGATAAAATCTTTTATCTATACGTACATTAATTCTACATATAAAACTTGTGCAGTTGTTATCTTATAGTTTATTTTTATTATTATATTACTTTATCTTCTTCTCTGAGCAAATGGCAAAAAATTTTTTGGAATATTATCATCTAATAAAATTATTTTAATAATCCAATATACAAACAAAAATTTTTTAATTTATATCTACCTAAATATTTAAATAATTCAGCAAGATCATTCTTCTCGTGTAAACGAAAAATCAATAAGATCGATGAATCTCGGGGATCCTTGGTAGAATTTTCTTCACATAAATTTCATATATTGGTACGTGACGCTTTTTAAGAATATTCGACATCGCTTGAAATTCCTTGAAATCCGGATCGCTGTTCGTTCGAGCGGCAATTCGTTCGGCCTTGAACGCATCCTCGATTATTCGCGTTGTCTTCGAGGTACGAAGAACAAAATTGATGTCTGCGGTCTGGTCCAGGAGTTACGACGTTGCGCATATAGGAGATATAGCGAAATGATAGATACGCGGCGAAATGTACACGAGTAGTCTACGACAACGTCAGCTCAATATCAAGGTTGCTATCAATTTTCCGCTAGTGAAAACTTTGACGCGCGTGCATCAGCTACACGTCCGTTTTTTCCATTCCATTTTTTTTTAGTTTTCATAAAACCGTGCAAAACGGCGCGGGATAAAAAAGTGTCGTTTACTCCAAAATTGCATGGAAAGAACGATTTTGCTGAAGGGTCTAAAAAGGTAGGTAGATACAAATCTGAAAATAATTTTATCGAGCTACCAAA